TTTTGATCCTCTGCGGAGGGGATGGCACCCCCGCTTCGGTAGCCCGACGACCTGCGCGCGAAGTCGAGCACTTTACGGTAGCACAGTTTAACGAGGACCAATACCGCACACCCTCGGTCCCTACGCAGACTGATCCAAGTGGGTCACCCACCCGCACACTGACCGCAGCCAGTGATGCTTGACTTCGGTGATCTGCTGGGAACCGTTTCTTAACGATCAGTCCACTGCGGGACAAATTAAGATTTGACAATCAGTTCGAGCATTAACTATCAAACTTGTAGGAAAAAATACCATGTTTGGTCGATCTGTAAACCCGCTGAAATGCAACTACGAAGTTGAAAATTGAGTAACTGAACGAACCGTTTTTTCTTCTTTTTTTGTGAACTGAAAGCAAACTTTGTTTCAAAAATCCAGTTTGCTCGCTAGTTATTGCAGGTTAAAATGCTTTTTCATTCATTTTTCTGTTTTAAAATATCCATTGCAGTAGAAAATTTATTTTTCCCTCTCGAGATCTTCATTATATGAGCTCGTGAACGAATAGATGTCCAAGAAGCAAGAGGGACAGAGATTACGCGTTGTCAGATTTAAAATATTATATCTCAACATTTATAATGCAATTTTTAAAACTAAATAATAAAAAAAAACTTATTAATACCGTTCCCTGTTTGAAGAGGTATAAATCTCGTTAAAGAGTACAATTACCTTCTATTTATTTCTTATTGAGTCACGCAATAATTTTTTAAATTCAGATAATCCTCAAATACTTCGTTATGAGTAACATGTAAAGAAAATGCTCTTACATAAGGCTACAATAATTATACAGTTTGAAAGCAAAATATTCTATGTTTTTGTGGAAAGTATAACGTAAAAAAAAATATCTATTTCAAAAAGAGAGCTTTAACATTTCCTAGAAAACTAATACTAAATATGTAATCTCTTACTCATTCCCCTCTGAGGTGATATACATAAAACCCTTGACCGATTGGAGAATTCTCAATTTCAAAAGTCACTCGATCTTATCCTTATATTCCAGGGACCGATCAAGACAAATTCAGGCTCAAGGCCCAGCAAATTCTCCGGGGCCCCTTACAAAATACTTTGAAATTAAATTACCGAAGTTTACTCAACATTTTGAGTAATTAGTCCTACCAGTAGTGAAGAATCAATTGAACTGCATGATTCAAGATAAACATTCTATGAAATCTTGAAAGCAGACAATTGAAGATTATTTTTCTAAGATGAAGTTTACGTATCCAGTGCCGTAACTTCACCCTTCGGGGCCCTGGGGCTCAAATTTTTGCCGGGGGCCCTTTCTAAAACTTTGTGTACTCCATCTCTAATCGTCATTTTAGATATTTATGTATCATGTTGATTAATATATTTATGAAAATAAGTCACCTTTTCACATAGAAATGGGATTACAAAATATTGTTAGTTGTAAATTTAACACTAGAATGTAAAATGTTATATTTGAAAAAATAAATTTTTAATTACAAAAGACAAATAAGTGTTTAAGACTTCAAGACATCTAAAAATAATTACAAAACACATACTAAATACATATTTTAAATGTATTTAATGGTTCTAGTTTGGTAGATAGATTTATACACTTAAGTTTGTTGAGAAAGATTATACATCAGTTTGCATTAAAATAAATGTCTAGAATAACGATTTCATATTTAAAATTTTAGATTAGTTTCAGTTTTTGAATAGTAATAAAATTTTTTTAAAAAGGTGAGAAGAAAAATTAATATAAAATAAAAAAGTCATAAAATTAATATTTATAATTATTAGTACAAAATATAAATCCTCCCATAATTTGAAACACAGTCCACTAAATTTGCTAATCTACTATTAATTAATAAAAATTAAATAGTAAATTATAAAAATTTTAAAATTGCTGAACATTAAGTTTCAAAACTTAAAATTTATTTCTCCTGACCTTTGTTGCCGCAAATTCATCAATTATATCGCTGAAATCAATATTTCGTGCTCTTTCGTTTTCAATAGACAGTAGAGCAAGTCCATTCAATCGATCCTGTCCCATCGAACTTCTCAAATAATTTTTAATAAGTTTCAATTTTGAGAAAGTATAACAAGTATAATCTCTACACACTGTCAAGAAGTGCATAATACATCCTTAATCCATTATAGTGATTTTTGTTAGTAAATGACAATTTTTAATGTTTTTTTTTCTTTTCTTATTTCAAATTTTATAGTCGTAATCTAAACGTAAATACTCAAAGTTCAAAGTCATTAACTTCTTTGTTAATTTCTTAATTCAGTGAGATCTTCATACAA